GTACTAAAATGAAACAAAAACTAAAGTTTATGTATGGTTTTGAAGAAATTGAAAGTTTAGGTACTAAAAGGGACTAAAATTGATAGATTAAGTACTAAACATGTGATTTACCCTTTCTTTTTTCCACCCACTTTTTGCCGAACTTTTACTTTTGTTGATTAAATATTTCATGTCCCAAGGTCATAATCTTGCCAAAACTCAACTAGCTTTAATCTTCAATCTAATATTTTGATTTGAATTCTATTTCATTCGATTTGAATCGATAAAATTTTGAATTAAATTAAAATAAAAAAGAACACGCCAATTCAACTGATTTTAATCTTTTTCGCTCGATTTGATTGAATGCTCACTCGTGATTAAATCTTCATTTACCATATTCTAATTTTTAATTAAACAAGATTAGTAAATTAGGTTAAAAACTCCACGATTCATTAGGTAAAAACATGGAATTGAAAACAAATGATTGTTTTTAAAAATTGTTTTTGAAATTTCTTTGGATGATGTTTGATCATTTGTGTTGCTCCCCCACCACAAAAGCCTTATACATTTAAATATTAATTAATCAAAGTTATTGGGTGGTCTACATTTTATTAATGGATTCTCTTTCAAATAATTGCAAAGCTAAAAGAAAAACTCAGCCTATGTGTGCAAAACAACAAGTTGTAGGGTCAATGTGCCAACATTTGGAACACAAAAGGAGAATAAATTTGTTTTAATTGGTGCTTTGATTATGATTAATTTTATTTAAAGAGGACATTATTGAATAAAAATTGAGGGTCCATTTGATTTTTGTGACTTTAGGTTTGGGATATTGTTAAAAATTAAGTAATATTTTATTAAGTATAACATGTGAATTCATGTGAAGAGGGTCCTCCATGTTCTTTATCTCTCTATTCTCTCCTATATAGGAGTTTTTTTTTTTGTTAACAGTAGTGGATCCATAAATAATTTTAAGGGTGAGCACACATCTATATTAATCACATAAATTTTTTTTATACAGAGTGCACACAACTATTAAAATATATAATTATTCGAAGGAAATTTAAATTTCAGGATGAACATTCCTTAACGGATCCGCCACTGATATTATATATGAGTTGAGATTTTATCTATTATTTTTTAATATATTTAAATATATATTTGGTACTTGAATTAGACATTTTATTTTAAATAATAATGGAGGAATCCTTCCCTATATCCCCAAACTTATTTTTTAAGATAAAAAATCTTATTTATATATTGTCTCCAAAAATTTAATGTTTCACCTTAATTTATGTAAGTCCATGTTTACAAAGTGGGGTTATCGTTTTTGTTTTTATTTTTAAATTTATTTTCACAAATAAAAAAATATGAGCAAACGTGAGCATTGAATATAAAAAAAAAGCATACCTATTTAAAAACGAGGGGAAAAATCACATGGCCAATTCAGCTAAAGTATATCATTGTTGTCTTATCATAATATTTTTTTTCCTCATATCTTATATGTAATATTGAATTGTCAGTCCAACGCAGTTGGTAAGAGCGCAAGACTCTTAACTTTGTGGTCATGGGATCGAGTCCTACGATGGGCAATTCATAATTCTGACTGCCGGAGGTCTCCTACGGAAGCTGCTCTCAACCTGGCGTTGAGGGCAACCTACTATCCTACCTCCCCTTACCCCATTACATATGGAAATATGGTCAGCTAATTTTATATGTAATATTTAATAAATAAAATAATTAAAAATATTATATAAGAATCAAATACAAGAAAAATGATCACGAAAAAAAGAAAAAACAAGAGCATATTCATGTATATAAGAAAAACTTTAATAGAATAATTTTATTAATTCTGCTACACATTATATAATATATATATATATATATATGAGTATATTTAGGGATTAACACAAAATTTTGTGAAAGGGGTGTGGATTTTTAGAAAATTATATTAGACATCTAAGAAAATAAAATAAAATTAGACCATTAATGAAAAATATACAAAAAATACTTAAATTATATGTAAATTTGAAATTTCTATAAGTGTAATCGTTCCTAATTAGGGATGAGCATGGGTCAGTCGGATCGGGTTGAGTTTTCGGCCTACCGACCTGACCCGAAATTTATGCATTGTCCATCTGACCCAAAAAATATACACCTTCCACCTGACCCGAACCTGACTTGATTTAATCCAAAATAATATATTTATTAAAAAATATTACTTTTATTCAATAAAAATAGAGATTTAATTGGAAAAAAAATATGTAGAGAGATATTATTGTAATTACTCCTAAATATATAAGATAAAATTGATTTTTTTAGTTAGATCGAGTTGGATATTTTTCACCATAAACTTGAAGTCATTCCGATTTGAACATATCCTCTAAAATATCTGACATGAGCTCAATTTTTAAAAAAAAAATCTAACCCGATCAAATTAAATCAGATCAAAATCCATCGAATTTGAATCCCATGTTCCTCCCTATCTCTAGCCATCCTGGTCCATCCATGAGTACATAAAACTCTGAATACTCATATAAATAGTTATAAGTACACAATAATCCTAGTTGAACAAAATCTTACCATATATACATATTTTTTGGTACAATAAAATTTAGATAAGGGATGACTCTCCAATTTGTGGCCAATGCATACCTAAGACCCTATCGGAATTTACATAAGAATTTACAGATTACCCACCAAAAGTGACGATAGTAAAATTCGAACTTGACCTTATAAACTCAAATTTTTAAATCCCAGTCGATTGTATTAACCCTCATTGGCACATAATCATACCATATTGCATCGTTTTACCTCGTATCTATTACAAATTTATTTCTTTACCAAACGAACCACACTATAATTTTTTTTGAATTATATTATAATTAAATTCAGATCATAATTTTAGATATGATATAATTGATGTAATAAATAATGTATTTATCCTAAGCAAAAGTTCCACTATCTTTGTTTAATCAAAATAATTTAAATGTCAAAAGCAGTATTTTCATCAAGTGATTGATGTGTTATTATAATTGACAATTTTTAATTGCCAATTTATTTATTTTATGAGATTTTCACTGTTTAATTTGTTGCATTTGGTTTATTTTCTGTACAAAGAACCCTATACTGAAATTGGCAACAAAATGGCAAGATCTGTAACTTTTTTTTTTATTAATTTCCAGTCATGGCTGGAGATATGGGCATGACGCGGAGCTGACATGGTAGTTTTGGAAGACACCGGAAGGCGCTGAAAGATTCTATAAGTTTTCATTTTATTTCTTTTACGTTGTTCGTTTTCAATTGCTTTTATTTTACAAAACCATGCTAAGTATGATAATTAATATCATGTTTAGCTAATTTCCTCGTGCCAAAGAACTAGTAATGAGTCGATTCAAATCGTGAGATTCGAACAAAGCGCTAAAAGTCCATTCGGGATACATTCTTGTTTTTTTGGGCAAAGAGCTTGGCAATCGGCCTCTCTCATAATTTTTAAACACTTTCAAATAAAAAAGTGATCGTTGGTCTGAACGTTGTTTAAATATACCGTTGGGAGAAAGGATCGGCCTGTGGCAATTCGACTTTCTGTGAACACCCATAACGACGGTCTGCTAAGGGAAAACAAGATCATAATTGATTTTTGACGAGACAACATCCTAGTCGAGCCTTTCCTATTTTAAATATGAATGTTTTAATAGCAATAGATGTTGTTAATCCACTCAAGAATCATCTTTCAAAGATAGACTTGAGAAGATCGGTTACATGAGAGAAAGACAAGTTACAATGGGTTGAACATTGTAGATTGTAACCTTCGTGAATCCCGAAGGAAACATACATTTCCGTGATCGAAAGAATCGAATCGAAACTAACTCGAGGCAACTTTTCCACATGTTAATTTTATTATCTCATTTCAAATCTTATTTATTGTTTTTCCTTTGATACACTGCTTTTCTCAATTTTTCTGTTTTCTTCAATTTCTCTTCATCATTTACGCTAAACCCCTCTCTCTGATACATTTTACTTTTACTGCAACTTCTGAGATGGGAACCAAGACAAATATGAATCAGAAATTCCATCAACTCCTTGTGGATCGACCTTCTTCCACTGTTCTACTTTAATTAATATCTTTAGTTTATTGTCGAAGATTTTTATTTTATTTTGACGAGAAAAACGATGTTCGTAAGTGATCTTATTTGATATTAATAGGAGAAGTAGGTAAGATAAGAGAACTGCAAATTGCATAATGCTCATTAAATCGTGTGATAATGCAATTCTGCAAAAAGTCATTACAAAATCAAATCAAAATGATTTCATCTTTTTTTCCATTACATTTTTTTAATAATTAAAAAAATATAGTGGAAAGATGAAACCCTTTTCTCTCTCAAGTTGCATGCTGCTATCGAATATTATGATGAAATTAATTAAACAAATTAATTAATTAAAAACAACAAAGTAGTGGATGGGGTGAAGAGAAAATCAATGGAATTTTTCTCCTTTTTTTTCTTCTTTTTCTTAAAAATATATATGGCTGTTAATTGAGAATGGGTTTTTCTTTTCAGTTTAAACAATCTAATCATATTTGGCTAATTATATAAAAACTAAATTACTGGTTGAATTTTAATTTAAAAGATTATAAATTTGTATAACCAAACCGATTCAAATAAGAAATAATTATTATCTTTAAAGATATCGGGATTTGAACACGACATTTGTAAAGATGTTTGAATATTTATTGTCATGACATAAATCATTAGAAACAACAATTATGAATCTTGAAATATGGATATATTTAAGCAATTATAATATTAAAAAAAAAGAAGAAAATATGTTAAAAATGGGAGAAATTAGGTCAGATGAACAACATAAATCATTAAGAGGATATGAATGAAGAAAATAGTTTAAAAGAGTACTCTTTAAAATGATCTTTCATTATTTAAAACATAAATCAAAGTAAAGGGAGATAAGTTTAATTAATATACAGGGAGTTCACTTAGGTTTTTTTTTTTTTTTTTTGGGTTTTGTTTCACAGATCTTTAAATAAAAAACACGAGATTTTTGGAAGATCTAAGAAGATTATGTCTCAATCTCTTACATAAGTAGCTATGGTCTGGACTTACTAGTAAGGTGGTCGCCCATGTGCCCAAGCATAGGCCTCATGCCCTAGTTGACCTCCATTGGAGACTAAATTATGAGGCATATTGTATATCGGAAGTGAAGATGGATCTAGCAGACCTGTCTGCGGGCCGTTTCCCGTTCGGATTATCTCCGGCGGCGGAGAATTGGTTGATCCGTTGTGGATCTGATCACCTTGTCCGTCTCCGCTGGCTGCTGCTTCTTCGTCTCCTACTGGCAATCTTTCGTAAGTTGCGTTAGCGAACGTTGCTGCAATGACCATAACAGGCCCGGCGGCGACGAGTGAACCGACGACGATTCCGCCGAAGACTTGTCCTTGACCACCGGCTAGGTATATGGTGAGTCCCGTTGAGCCTGGTGGTGCTGGTCCAGGCAGGAAAGCTCCTGTCAAAGACAAGATTTCGAACCTCCCTTGAAGAGCAACCACGGCTCCGGGTCCAGCCGGTTGTCTAAGCATAACGTTCGCGACCGAACCGCTGCCACTGAGCACACAGACGCCGCGCTGTCGTCTCCGGGCGAATTGAGCTATGCTTTCCGCCACATCGGTGCCACTCACAACTTCCATGACGTGACTACGCAGCGCGTTCGGGCTGTCCCTAGTGACAAAAATGGGGGGTTTGGGCTTGTTTTTGGAGCCCGGAGGTCGGCCTCTAGGTCTTCGGTTACCGATCTCAATAGCCCCCTCTTTAGGCTCATCGCCGGTATCTCTGTCGTCGTCGTCGCTGCTTATATTTTTCCCGGTATCGTTCATCGAAATCCCCATGTCACTTTTGTTCAAGCCTGCTGAATTGCCTGCAGGCTCTATGCCTTGTAGATTCACTTGATTAATAGCCCACCAAGGATTCGCCATAAAATTGAACTCGAAGCTCAAGTAAACTCAACACAAGATCATAAAACCCAACACTGGTTTGATTATTAATTTTGAGACAACAATAGAATATAAGACAGGATATGTAAGAAAAGAGAATTAGATGCAATTCGAAGAACATAAAAGAGATAACCAATCAATTCATCAAACAGAGAGAGAGAATAAAATAAAGCACTAAAAAACTATTACAAAGACTTAAAACAAAACTTATTAGATCAAATGTTGTTTTCTTTCTCCCTATGTTGAAACTGTGTGTTGTGTTTTGATTTGGGGAAGGTAATGGCTTTGATCTTGTGCTCACTTGCATCAATATAATAATGATCCATCCCTTTTCTCTTATTTTTATAATGCTACGTGTTTTGTTTGGTCCAAACATATTTTACTTTTAATATTGTCCTTCAACAATAGTTGTTTTGTTTAAAAATTGAAATCTTAAGGTATATTACCGACATGATTAGTTCAAGTGATAATCAGCTTGATATCGTTTAAACATGTTCGAGTACGAGTCCTTATGTACTCAGAAAATCTCCGTTAAGATATTCACCCATTAAAACGAGATATAAAGTAAAATTTCGATTACTTAAATAAAAAATTTAAACTCATTCTTATAACTTCTACTTCTAAGAAAAACCATTTATTTGGGAAATATTTAAGTATTTTGCTATGGATTTGCATTTTGATGCATTGATAGAACACAATGATAAACAAAGAAACAATTTTAAAATATTTAAATTAAATAATTAGTTCAATTTACTTTTTTAATCTTTTTGTTTTTATTCATAAAAGTAAGTTTTTTTTAATATTTTTGGAAAACTAATATATATATTTGATAAATATAAGTAACACTTTATTTTCAAATATGTTTGATATCTATGTTCCTATTGTACGTAGAAACATGAGCAATAATTTTTTTCCCTATATGTATATGGATTAAAACAAGAATTGAAGATTTTTTAATTTTAATTTTTTACTTAATTTTTTTATTTTGATCTAAATAAACATCCTCTCCATTTTTTGGTTATTTTTTTTATATTCTTGAAGCATTTTATTTTTGTTTTATTTTATAGTACGGTTATTCTATGCTTTTATGACACGGTTATGTATGTCGTTATAATAGTTTGGTGTTTTGTGTTGCAATCATCACGACTCACCTCCTGAACAGAAAAAAAAATCAAGAATCAAATATAATTAGATCCTATTTTACGACAGTTTATCGATTCATTTAGATTTATTTCTGGAATAATCTGTCAGATTGCTTCTCTCAATCTCCACCGCTACATCAATATCGAGTCTATGTTCAAAAGAGACTATAAATTATTGATAGTTGCTAGAATTTTTTGAGAGATAAAACATGTATTTAAAGGAAAGTTTTAATTTTATTTTTTTTACACCATTTGAGCTTTCATGTTGGGATTGTGTTATCTAAATTAAAATACCATTGTTTTCAAAAATATTTAATTCTATAAAAATATTTTAAAGGAAAACAATAATGTTCTATTATCGGTTTTTCACTTATTTTTTAAAAAATATTATTAAAAAATTAATAAAATAAGTTTTTTTATAATGAAAAGAATATTTGTTTTTTTATTAAATTAAAGTGATCATAAAGTAATATTTGTTCTAAGTACTTTAAAAACAATAATTAATTCATTTGATCACTGAAATAATTTGATTCGTGAAAAAATATTTATTTTTTAGATGCGAACGTGAATTAATTTTTTAATAAATGAAATTAGAAGATTTGATATATAAATTAATATACATCACAATGAAGTAAGAAATTTATATAAATCCTCAACCGTTATGGGTTAATAAGAGCCAGCTCTCCTTTTAGAGAGCTTTGGGAATTAGGGTTTCATGGGTAACGTGCGCGTGGGTAGCCGGGGAGCACGTCGTCATCTCGTGCCCCAATCCTTTTGTTTCTTTCTATCTTGCACATAAGGATGGTATCGGGACAGATTAGGGTCAAGTTTTTTCGTCAATCTAACTCAAAATATGCATTTTTAATTTAAATTTGAGATGATTCGAAAATTATATATTCTCCATCTGATCTAAAAAAATATATATATCCTTACATGACTCTGACTCGACTCAAATTTTTAAAATATAAATCTGATCGATAAGACCCACCTGATATAAAATAAAAATTTAATTAAAATAATAACATTTTTTTTAAAAATATATTATTATCTTCGGGTCTGGTCGAGTCGGGTCGGAGTTTTTTCACCCTTCACCCAAACTTGACCCGACTTCATCCTCTTAAAGAATCCGACCCGACCCTATCGGGACCTGATTTAAAAAAAAAATCTAATCCTATTAATTCAAGGGTAAATTATCCCAAGATCATTAAATTATATAGTCAAAATCATTTTGATCATTGACGATTTTTTTACTAATTAGATTATTAGACTTCCAATTAGACTTTCTAAGTTTAATGACTGACATTGAAAATATTAAAATTGAGAATAATATATTTTTTTCGTAATTTTTTTATTTTTTACAATTAATCTCAACAAATCATTTTCATTCGTCCAATGTTTCAAAAAAATCATAAAATTTCTAAGTTTCACACGTTTTTTAAATCGTTGGACGAATGAAAATGATTAATCAAAATTACCAAACAAAATGAAAGGATTTTTATCAAAAAAATATTATCCTCAAATTTAAAAGTTTTGATCTCGACCATTAAACTCAATTAATATAGTGATCTAAAAAATACGTAAAATTTTTAGAGTTTTATATCGTGTACGTGGATTTTAACTCTCTCTATATATTATGATTCACATACACAATATAAAATTTAAAAATCTTATATTTTTTTTAAATCACTGAACGAGTAAAACCGGACTATTGAGATTAACAATATAAATATAAAAAATATTACAAAAAAAATAAATTATCTTTAAGTAAAAAATATATAATTTTAAATCTAGCCAGAAAATATTTGTATATACTCATTTTTTCAAGACCAAATCATTATCAAGTTAGGGTTGATAGAGAAAGAGCATCGAACCCCATTCATAAGGATAATCAAATCATCTTATATATAATATAGTCATTAATCTTATAAAGGTTTGACTAATTAAGCAAGTTGCAAAATAATTAATGGGTATTATTATTATTGTTTATGGGCAGCGTTTTCCTTTTAAATGATTAAGAATTCAAAGTAAGCTGATTACTCCAAATTATCGACGGTTGGTTTAAGTGATAAGCAGTTTGATATAACTTAAGCATGTTTCGAGTTCGAATCATTGCGTATGTATAAATCCTATCGGAAGACTCACCTACCAAAATCAGGTGTGCGACTTGGGTCGATTCGGATTAGTCAAGGCGAAACCTTGAGAACCAGATAAGTAAAAAAAATCTTCCTGATTAAATAATTCAAACCCAAATATCAACATAGATATTGATCAATCAACCCCTAAAACAATATAATAATTTTATTATTTTTCATGAAGATAACGGTTTATTGATAAATAATTTTCTAAAAATAAATTAAATGTGTAAAAGGATACATTCATAAACTTAATTTTTTTTTTAAAAAAAATTAGTTAAAGTTTATTGGAAGTATTATATTATATTATATTTAAAAAGTTCATTTTAATCCCTTCAGTGGAAGATCATTTTAGTCTCTTAAGTATGTATTCCTAAAAGTTATTCTGGTTATGCTACTATGAAATAGGATGTGTTTGGTTGGGGGAATATGAGATTCTCATGGGAATGAAATTCACATTCCCCCATTTGGTTGGCCGGGAATGTCATTCCCGGTAATTTTACATTACCAATAGTAGATTTTTTGGGGTATATTATTGGGAATGTCATTACCTCCCTTTCCTTAAGTATTATTGGATTACCAGCATTTTGGACTAAAATGCCCTTAAAAAAATTTCTTTAAAAAATATCTTTATTCTGTCATTGAATAATAAAAATTCTACGAATGTTAAATTACAAATTTATCCTTAAACTATTTTAGATTTATAAAAAAAATCTATAATTAAAATTTTATATGAAGTTCAGGGGTTAAAATAAAATTTTTAAAATAAAATTTTAGAATTTCATTAAACCTTTTTATATTTTTAATTTTGTAAAAAATTATATAAATTTTATGAATTTAAATTTTTAAAGAAAATATATAAATATTTTCCAACTTGTTAAAAAAATAAATATATAATGAGGACAATTTAGTCAAATATACATTCCAACAATCTTTTATTTCTTTAACCAAACAAAGTAATCTTACATTTCTACTAAGCCAACCAAACACAAAATACAACATTCCCAGTAATGCTATTCCGTAGTAATCTTTTACGTTTGAGAATCAAATATTTTGTTCCAAAACTTTAAAATTATAATTAGTTGGCTTAAATATTTGGGTAAACTACAATATTCATCACTCAACTTTTTATTCACTCCTATTTTGTTCATTAAAATTTTAAAAAATTTAATTTAATTACTCAACTTTTGAATTATTTATATTTTAGTTACTCACGATTGACATGACTTATTTTATTAATATTTTCTTATGACGTGACATGTTTTATTTATATTTTTGTTACATAGCTCTCTCCTTTGTCTTTTTTTTTTCTTTGAGTTTGTATTGCTTTTCATATATTATATCAACTTTTTTTTATTCTTTGATTTTCTTTAGCTAAAGGCAGTACTGGTTTTGATGATGTTTGTCGACCGTCGGTTCTTTTTTTTTATTATTTTTTTTATAAGAATGATTCTACTTGTGTTGTATGTTTATCTCTTCCTATTTTGCATGTTTATCTCTATCTTTTTGTGGTAATTTTTTTTATTTTTTTCTCGTTCGTTCGTTTATTCATTCTTTTATTTATGTTTTATCAAGGTTAGATTTGATGACGTAACATCTGATCAAGATGGCGCTTATTCGAAATCTTATTGATCGTCCATGCTATGGGCCTTTGGATTGAATTTGAATGCGTGATTTTGCGTTTGTGGATAGTTTCTCACGACGCTCGGCTCTGATCTACAGTTCTCGGTGGCATTTCAATAGCTTAATTCCCTTTTATGGTTCGTTTGCCAATGCAATCAGATTTATTCACATCTATTTTTGTTCAAGTCTCTTGGTTGGTTTTTTAACCTTTTCCATGGATGATCCTTATATGATCTAAAGTGGCTAGTTTCAATGTTATAGGAAAAATCCAAATTATGTATTTAGTTTAAACTCTTATTGTAATTTCGGATATTTTCACTTTTAATAATACTAGTCTCTTCTATTC